CAGGGGCAGCAATTGTAGTGCTTGGGTGTCCCATGCAGTTCTCGGCCCAGGATTGCATTATCCAAGGAGGATGCCCTCGTGGAGTGGGTGTCTTGGCTAGAGGACTGGGCCTCTGAACTGGAAATGCTGCAGAACACGGGACGCTTCAAGCAAAGCCGCACTGTTGGCGGTGTGGCGTTCAAGGCCCAGACTCTGCTTAGCTGCTGGCAGCTGTCGCTCCAGATACGTAGCCTGCACGGGTTGAAAGATGCTGTTGCGAAGAGCATCGTGGTGGCACTTTCAGGGCCACTTGCAAATGCAGTGTTGTCAGCAGCCCCCTGCCAAGATGATGAGGGCTCACCTGCTCTGAAAAGCTTGCCCTCCGCATGGACGTTGCAGCGTGCGAAAGCCAGGATAGATGTCGCGTTTATGCTCCTCATGGCCAAGCAAAACTCGTTGCCTGGAGCTCTGTCAATTCTTCATGGGGATACTCAGCGCTTTCCCAGTTGGGCGGCTTGGGTGTGCAAAGATCCAACACCAGAACTGAAATGCTGCTACTTGCTCTTTGGCCCGGAAAGATTATCGTTGGCAGGCAGTTCAGGATGCTCGTGTAATTGCGAGGCAGGTGTGGGCTGGAGTGCGAAAGTGTGACTTGTAATGTTGTTTGTGGAAAGGGGCCGTCTGCCACACCTGTTGCCGTTGCTGCTTGTAGCCGCTTGTAGACTGTAGACTTTGGCTTGAGATTGAGCGGTTTCACAACTCAACTCAGGTTTGCAGATTCCAGCCCGCAGGGTGGGCGCGATTGGTTTCTTTCTGCGTGCTACAAAGTGGCGACGTCGGATCTTTCAAGCCTAGCCGCTGCAATGGATCAATTGCAGGAGTCGGCACAGTCTGCAGAACGGGTCGAGCCTGACGATTCCGGCGAGTTGGATGCATCTTGCTATGAGGTCGCTGCTAAAGGGCCACTCGGACGGACGGATGTGACAGGCTTGTTTGTGTGCGGTGCCGTCGTCTTTCCCCAGCTTTGAGTAAGCGGTAGGGTGGTGGTAGCTTCAAGAATCAAGAACACTGCTGGAAGTCGCGGTCTAAGACCGCTTAAACAAGCCTGCAAGCTGGTGGCTTGTGACTTTTGTTAGGGCTTTCGGAGGGCTAGTTGCTTTGATGCCGCAGGAAGCAGAGCGCAGAGACCATGCTCAAAGCATGTTCGAAGCACATGAACGTGCCAGTGGTTCTCGGGTCCAGGGCCACGGACCTTCCCAACAAAGCTGCAGCACTCGTGCATGCACTCAGACTTGAGACAGGGACCTCTGAGAGTTTGCTATGCTGGCTTCAACAGTCAGTTTCACATCCGACATGGGTGTGGAATCAGGGCTGCCCGATTTCCCGAAGGTTGATCTAGCTCAGCTGTGTGTTGCGCAGATTCCTGGAGAGTTGCAAGATGATGTTGGTGCCGGTGCCGATGCTTCTGGTACGTCGGTAGGGCCTGGACCAGAGCTGACTGCGAGCACGAATGACTCTAACTTCATGTTTCCGCACACTCTACTGATTTGTGGTGTCTTGCATTTTCTGGCCAATGCGGCGTCTCAGGTACATGAAAGGCTCGGTGTGTGGCAGGAGTTTAAGCCTCAACTGAAAGCGGTGGCCTGCATCTTGCATCATGGGCATTATCGTGACAGGTTGAAAAGCACATGTTTTGGAAAGCGCACCCGTTTTGCTGCTTTCGCAGACTTCTGCAACACGGCATGCCCAATGCCGATCGAGTGGAGATGGTTGGTCACACAGCAGGTGTTGCATCACATTTTGGGTTTGGAGCATGCGCTCTTGGCAGGTTGGAATTTGCAGGTGTTCCTGGCAGGAGGTTCTGTCGACGCCGATGCCAGCGCTGGCGACGGGGATATCGGTTACAGGAACAGAGTTTCCGATGCAAGGGTTTCACTCAGCCAGGTGGACGAGGCTTTGAGACCACCCTTTTTCTGGGCCACTTGCAAGATGCTTTGGCACCTTGGCGAGACCGTCCGGGAGATGGAGGGCTGGTCCAAGGGTTGTCCATGCCACCCTCGCGATGCGAAGCTGTCGGCGTTCAAGCAGCAGGCAGCGTACAATGCAGAGCTGGGCCGTGCTGCTTCGGATCAGAGCGACACGTGTCCTGGCAAAGGCAAGCGTGCTCCGGAGTTGGCGGCGGGCAAGTTGCCCAGCCTGTACGAGGAGGTGAGTCTCACGCATTATGCCTTAGTGCTGTCCGCCAGTCAGTCCGTGCCACAAGAACAACGTTCTCAACTCTTGCGTGCCGGGCTCATGACTCCATAGTAAGTCCCTCGCAGTCTGTGTCTGTGCCTGGGGGGTTGGGGCGGTTGGGGGGGCCGGGCGGTTTGGTGTTGCTGATTGGTGCATTCTGGGCAGTTTGGTGGGTTGCTGATTGGTTACGCGCATGCATCTGGGCGGTTTGGTGGGTTGCTGATCAGGAGGGGTGCGACGGCCGGGCGGCGTGCGGGAAGGCGTTCCGGCCGGGTGGGGGATGAGGGGGGTGGGGTCGGGGGCGCGGGCGGGGGGCTGCGGCTGGGGGTCTGTCTGTGTCGAGTCTGAGAGTTGACACTCACAGTGACTTACATTGACACTCTCTGTGAGGTTTGAATTGCGAGGACTAAGGCCTAAAGGCTAAGGGGTAAGGGCTGTGGCCTGTGAGCTGCGCCACTCAAATGCACATTCTCCAAGCCCGAACATGCGTAGAAATCGTTTTTCCGGATGTGTTCATGGGCACGCTTTTCAGCTTTGTTGCCTCAGGTGATTTCGAGGCAGGAAAAACCATCTTTGCTACGTGATCAAGATGAAGCTCAATGCATGGAGCAAGCTGCCTTTGCATCTTTGTGGCCTTGGTCTGCCGCAGACCCAACCCGAGGCGATTCAAGAAGTTGCCCGAGACTGCCTGCAACAGTATGCTGCCCAACCGGATGCCGAGCACAGAGTCTCCAACTTTTTCTGTGCGCCAGGCAGCCCGCTTTACGACAGTTTGGTCTCAGTGGCCAATGGGGCACCGCTGCAACAACATATGGAACTACACAGATCTGTGCAAATTTTGAAACTCATCCCAGTTGCAGAGCACGTTATCGAGGGAGGGTCCGCATGCAAGCACGCAGCGGCAGATCGTCAGGGCTCCACGTTGCGGGCCAGTTGCTGTGAGCATGGCATTGCGAGGCCCAGAGATTGAGCGCTTCGTGGTGGAGGGCCCTGTGTGGTCTGGGATGGTGCTTGCAGAGACTGTGGATTTGGTCTCCAGTTTGCCCAGAGCCTTGCCACGTTTAGGTCTTCAAGCGCATCCTGCTATTGCAGCCGCCGAAGCAGCAGGGAAGCTGACCACTGGTTTCGTTTGCAGCATTATCTACAGGTGTGATGCTGAGTCGCAGCTCGTGAACTTGCGAGGAGCCCGGAAGGCCGCTGAGGTGAGCAAGGACAAGCAGAAGAAGCAACGAGCCGAGAATGATCACAAACGTGACAAACAGGCCGCAGAGCGAAAACTTGCTCCAGAGGAGAGGGCCGACTGGTTCTTTCAATGCTTGCTCTTTGACTGTCTACGGACGCAGGAAGACACTGAGGCCTCCGTGTTCTCTTTGCCGGCGTCTGTCACGAGTCAGCCGTTGGCGCACGGGGAGGCCCAGCAGCTGTGCGACAAGGAAGGGCGTGTCCAGCTGCCGGACATGAACCTGCCCTCCAAAGCCTATAGACAGTGTTATCGCTGTGGGTGCGGGGAGTGCAGGTGTTGCAAGGTCTAAGGCCCCGGAAGCTTTTCTGCAAATCGAAGATGATCTTGGAGATGTGAGTGCAGATCCCGATGGATTCAGTGCCCTGCCAAGCTGCGGGCACGCCGGTGCTTCAGAGGATTCTGGCCTACATGGCTTCTTCCGCGTTGTGCACGCGAACCCTTCGAGGCAGAAAATTCAACATGTTTCGCCTGCCCTTGGTCAGAAGTTGAGGGACAGCGACATGGCTGTAACCCGGCACAAGTGCCTGCATGTTGATGAAAGCCGTGCCAAGATAGAAGCTGCGCCTCTATCGACAGCAAGGTCAAGCTCAGCTGATGCACAGTCTGCAACTACAACCTTCTTGTTGAACACTTCCGTGCCGATGGGCTCGCGCCAGGAACTTGCCGAGCAATTGCTCAGATGGGAGTTTGATGCAGAGTGTGAACATGCTCTTTCCGGGGTTTGCCCACGTTTGCTTGACGTGTTTCCAGACCTCGGCGCATTCGAAGGTCGTGCGGCGAAGTATGTGCCCGAGGAGGACGATGAAGACACCGATACGCTCAATCGTCTTCTTCGGGAGGGTGTTCTTCGTGCGGAACAGGTTCGAGAAGATGTGCGTGGGTTTCAGCTGACGCAGCAAGGCATGTGTGAGCTGAAGTTGGTGTTCAAGCTGCGGAGCCCTCGGCCAGTCTGTCTTGTGCCAGACATCGAACGCAGGCAATGGGACGCTCCGTCCCTTGGAGATTTGCATCCGTGTCAACTCTGGTTGCTTATGGAGACGAAGGGTTGGCAGCCGCTCGTGGCGACCACGAAGGAGCAGGCCGGTGAACCAGCCTATGCGTTGGACGCAGATGTCAGGAAAGTGTTTTTCTTACCAGTCAGGGGCACTTCGCCCCCGTCCCGTTGGTACATGCTGGCTTATGCTCTATCGGATTTGGTTTGGAGACAACGGCTTGCTCCATCTGTGCTTCCCGTGGAGCATAGCTGGCAAGTAAAGCAATACCGTGGCCTGGTCGAATGGTAGTTGTGTTTACTCAACATTGTTTACACTTTAGCTATCCCGCTTTTGCGTTGAGCTTGGTGATATTTCTTCATGCTTCAGCCACTTTGCTCAGCAGACGCTTCCAACATGCAGCAGCTGACATGTTGAAGAACATTTTTCACAGCCTGACAGCTTTGCTTTACATTTAGCACTTGTCGGATTTGCTTGCACATTCCGTTTTCACAGTGACTCCTTTCTAGGTGAGTGTAGGCTGTGCAGTCCGGTTCCGTGCGGGCCGGCAGATGGACAGTGAGTTCCCTCCGGGGCACTCAATCGAAGAGGCAGTGGAGCTGCTTCGTGTCGCAGCCTTCCGTTTTCATTGTCTTGAGACTCGCTTAGAGACATTGGAAAATTTTGTGTCGGAGTTCCGCTCCGTCCAGGAAAGGATCAACACTATTGCACTTCGTTTAGATTCTCTTGAGCGCGATCTGGCTGTGGTTCAACAGGCTTTCACCAGCCCTCAGGGTGTCAGCCTGCGAGCTGAACTTGAGGGCATCTCCTTGTCGTTGTCTTCAGTCATTGAGGTTGTGAATCGGCTTGAGCCTGAGACAACTCGCATCTTGCATTGGAGAGAGCGCTTTACAGGATCGCTTCAGGAAGAGCTGTCTCGCATAGGCCACCAATTTAGCCTTTCTTGCCCTCGCTTGGACGTTACATTTCTTGATGAGCTCGACTAGACTTCTTCAGCAAGGCAACATGCTTAGCGGTCAGAGCGCTTCTTCGGCGGCGAGCAGTGTGCCCGTGGTTGCGGACACAGGCACCGTGACGCCAGGTGACAGCAGTACTTTTGTGCCTCCTACCGCTCCGGTCTCAGCAGGGTTTCTTGCACATTTGGATTCTCTGATTGATTCTCCTGCGGAAGCGGCTGATGAGCAGTCGCAGGCATCAGATTTGCTTACGTCTTCTCCTGAGAAATCTGCTTCAGCTGCAAGCTGGGAACTCATTGCCCCAGGTGGTCATCTGCCCGCTTCTGCGGGCCCGAGGGTTTGCACGGTCAAGCGTTATCGTAAGCAAGTTTTGCCTGTTCAGGATTCACCTGTTGTGCCGCTGGAGCCAGTCCCATTGCTTTTGCAGGCCTCGCCTAAGGCATTGGTTTCCCGCTCTCGATCTCGCCCGCGGGATCCGGTCTGCCATGAATCACCCGTTGCAGCTTCGAGCCTTTCTCCTAGTCAAGATGATCATAGGACTAGGCTTGGGTTGGGTTCTAGGTCCTCCCTAGGCCCCTTTAAACCTTTGCCGGCCCCAGCTCCATTGCACCGTTCGGGGCTCTCCACTTCAGGTGCATTGCCGGTACAGGATTTAGCTCCACCGCTGCCTAGACCTAAGCACCGGGCGGCCTTTTATTGCAAGCACAATCGTTCACCTCGGCCTGCGCCGGAGCCACACATGCTGTTGCAAGCAGGGGTTAAATCAGTGCCTCCAGGGGTCCCCCAAGGTGTGCCTTCGTCTGCTTATGCAGGGCCCAGACCATGTCCTCGGCAGGCTACTTCTCAACAGGTTCGTCCGGGCCTCACCTTGCAACAGTCTTTGCATCAGGAGCAGTTCGCTCGTGTCTTGCTGATTTGGGTGTTGGTGCGGCCCCTGGTGCTTTCCTTCTCGCCCATCCTGCAAGATCTTGCTTCGAGTGTTAATGCCCCGGAGCTGGAGCTGGGCTTGCTCCGCACGGTGACCGAGACGACAGCCTTACGGTACTTGCAGGTGGTACATAAGTTTCTTCAGCAGCTGCACACTCTCTGGCAGCTCACCTGGGATACGGCATCGCAGTCTGCTGTTGTTGATTGCATCCTGTCTTTGCGCAGGGATCATCAGGATTGTCACCGCATCAACTGTGTCAAGGCCTTACGCTGGATTACAAAGCTGCTTCGTCTGCAGGTGGATAATCTTTATGACGGCCTTTTCCGTCCGCTGGTTGCTGTATCGATACACGATCCGTTCGATACCATACGTGGCGACGACTCTTGTTATAGCGACGTCCGCTGTATAGTGAACTCGTAATTTATCTATGTCCGCACTTGCTTGTTGTTGCACACCCTGAAAATTAGGGGTTGCTCGTGGGGGCTTCGTGTTGCTTCTGTTCTGCAACAGAGTTAATATATATATATATATATATAGGTGTATATATATGTGTATATTAACTCTGTTGCAGAACAGACTGAATATATATATATATATATATATATATATATAGAGTCAGCAGGTCTGCCTCGGATAAACTGCGACGTGAGTCGTACCCGCTCCCATGGCGTCTGGTGAGCTTCTTTGAGCATGCCCTCATGTTTCGCACATTGCCGTTGCAGGCTCTCTTACTTGCTGGTGCAGCGCTTGTGTGTGTCTACGCTTCACTCAGATGGAGTGATTCTCAGCATCTGCGCTGGGATACATTGCTCTTCAGTGCCTCTTGTTTGTGAGCATTGATTTTCAGAACCAAGACGTCACGAGCCGGCATGCCAATCGCTTTGCAGATTTCGGGGGTGCTTGGGCGTGACACAGGGGTTATGCAGACATGGCTGGCGCACTACCTGGCTATTCTTTCAGATGTTTGGGTTGAAATGCGTCTGTCCTTCGGGGATTCTGTTTGCCCGGATTGCTTATGGTTCTCTTGGGATAAGTCTTCGGAACAATTTGCACCCTTGACTTATGCTCAAAGCCTTCGGTTCTTGCGTGAATCGGCAGTGCAGTGTGGCCTGACAGAAGGTCTCGTGCAGTCGGCTTCCTTGACGCTTCACTCTCTGAAAGTTTGCTTGCTCAGTGCTATGTTGATGCTGCGCCTCAGCCGTAGGGCCAGGTGAAGCGCTGGCAGCTCAATCGGTGGTGCTCTGCAAGGTTCAGTCAGGCTGGCTTCCTCTTGCGCCAATGGCCAGGGGGTGGCAGATACCCATTCAACAGTTGCCGTTGATTCAGGTGGAGGCAGAGATTCCGCACGCCCCTTCTGCGTCGTGATTCCCACTGATGCCCGATTTCAGCCTTGCTTCTGCTGTGCAGGAACCGCCTAGTCTTGAACCGAGTTCGGATTTGCAGGTGGTTCACTCTTCATCTTCAATGGAGCCCACTCCTGGGGCAACCACAGCCGCTGTGCAGGCTGAAGATGATCTTGCATCCTCCTCTTCCGGGGATGAGTCACTGGGCCAGGCCGAAGAGACAGTCTTCTTGCGTGCCAAGTCAGGGATTGTTCATGTGGCAGCCCCAGCTTTGTCGGGTACTGGCGTCTGTCATGATTCGGTGTGGCTGAAGCCCATGTGTGGCATGCTTTCTGCTGATATCCCACCTACCTGCCAATGTTCGCATTTGCAAGCACAAGGCGTGCCAGGGATTGCTCAATAAGTGCGCTTGGTGCCTTATCGAGCGTGTATCGCGCTGCAGCGATGCCGGTCTTTGCTTCTGTGGCCTTTTGTCAGCTCTGCAAGTAGCTGAATTTTTGTATCGCACAAGATGCTTCATGCACAAGAGAAAAGAGGGATTAAGTCCTTGATCGTGCAAGAGTAAGAGGGTCTTGCATACAGCCGTTGCAATTGCTGTGGCCGCATCGCGAAGTTTTTCGGCTGCTGCACGCTGTACGCTGAGGGCTTAGGTCGGTGTGATGGCTGTCTCGACCACTTTTGCATCTTTCGCAGGCCCGCTTATACAGCCGTGCATGAGCGATACAAGTAGCATTGCTTTGGCGCTGCATCGCAGCCTGCAGTCCTATTTGGAGGGGTGTGGCCCTGGCTACAACCCCGGCCGGTTTTGGCGTCTTAGCTCTGCCGCGCCTCGTGTGTTATTGTGTTTGCAGCTCCCGGGACCCCTCTGTCGCGCCTTTTCTATGGCTGTTGGGGCATCTTATGCTCCTTGATACTGTTGCTTGCGGGTTTGCTGCGGCCTTGTTGGGGTTTTTGCTGCTTATGCTCCGGCCTGAGCAGGTGATGCACTTGCAGACGCGCCCGCTTCGCCTACAACCATGGCATCACTCCTTGAGTCACATGAAGTCCCTGGGGTTCTGCATCATCACTTTGCAGAGTTCACGCCGGAGGTCTTTGCAAATGTGGCCACGGATGCTGCCAGCTTGGAGCGCTTTTTGACTAGCCTGACTGAGAACACAGGCGCTGACCAGTTCGTGGTCGAGGCTCGCATCCGCATGTTGTGGAAGGATTGTGTGGCGCTTCAGGGTGATATCTCAAAGAAGCTGCCGGTTGCTGCGGCGGCGGCGGAATCGAAGCCGGACACCTGGGCGGACCCTTTTCCGGCAAAATTGAGTTCTGCTATCTGGAAGGGCCTTCACGAGGACCTTTTGGCGGCATACCCATCTGAACTGCACCCTGATGAGACCCCGGGTGCCAGGCTGATGGCATTGACTTATCGGGGTGTGTCGGAGCGATCTTTGAAATGGCCACAAAGGAAGTTCAGGCTGTCGGTGTCTCAGGAGCAAGCTCATCAACTCACACGCCCAGCTAAGCTGCCTCGCTTGGAAAACCTGCTCTTTGATGAGGTACCGTCTAAGGAGGTGCCCAATGTGTTGCAGTACGGCTATGTGGCAGGCATACTTAACATGCACGCCACGTCACTGGCCCTTTGCAAGGCCGCGCATCTTTCGGTGCTCAAGAGGTACGTCCAGTCCTTCCTGAAACTTTGTTTTCCTCAGCTTGAGTCCGGCTTTCGCGGCCCCAGCGTCGCAGAGGCTATTCAAGCCGACGAGAAAGCGTGGCAAGCCATCAATGACCTTTATGCTCATCATGACTGGGAGCTGGGGGACGCCGTGGCCGAGATCATCGATGTTCGGATGATTCTCCATGCTTATCTGCAGCCGCGCCTGGCTGCGGTGACACCGAATCCCCCTGGGGTTCCGCAGCCGCATGGTGGCAACGGTAGGCGTCCTTACACAGGTGGCCGCGGCCGCGGTAGAGGCAGAGGCTTCATGGGCAAAGCATTTGGCAAGGGCAAACAAGCGTCATCGTCCCGTGCGGATTCCGTCAAGATCTCGGGACAAGTGGTCGTCATTTGCAGAGATTACAATACTAAGGAGGGCTGCAAACGCGCAGAATGCCAATTTTCCCATGTTTGCAATGTTCCTCGTGCGGATGGTGTTGCGTGCGGTGGCAAGCACTCTGCTGTGAATCATCGATCCAACCCTCATTGAGGGGGCCCGGCTCAGGTTCTAGCGCCGGCCTGCGCGGGCAGTGAAACCCATGAGGTGCCGCTCACGGGCATTCTGGAGGTGTGGCATCAACCGCCGACAATGTGGCGGAGGCTGCCTCTGCTGCATCCTCCTCAGCAGCTACTCCCATGGTCGTGGACACCCCAGCATCCAATGTGCCAGATTACGATGGCTGTGCTGAGCACCTGCGCAAGCATTTTCATTTTTCCAGGAAGAGCGTTCGCCCTGATGTGGTTGGGGCGAGTGCCGGCTATTTTAATCTGGGGGCCATGTTCGGCTCCGGCAAGGTGGGCCTCACGCACTTGACTCAGGCATTCAAGCTCAGCTGCGTTTTCTTGAATCAATTTCTGCTTTCATGCTTCCCTCAAGGGGAATGGACATCAATCTGCACTGCACGTTCAGTTCAGACGCAAGTTCACTCTGAGTCCGGGACTTTACCGCATTCCCTGAACTTTTCTGTTAGTGTCGGCCCGTTCACGGGCGGTGAGCTCTGGGTGGCGGGCTCAGGCTCGGTGCCTATGCGTGACAGGTTTGGCAGGATCAGGTATGGTCATACGGTGTGTACACGACACACACCAGTGCAATTTCCCTGTGATGTGGAACATGCTACCATGCCGTGGCAGGGGGGCCCACGGTGGGCTCTGACGGCATATTCGGTTCCCGGCCTTGAGGTTATGTCTGAGGCGGCTCGTCAGCAACTTCTTGATTTGGGGTTCCCGTTGCCAGGGACTCGGCAGGCCGCTTCTGAGGCACCGTCGGTGCCGCACCAAGCCCAGGTGCCTGCGCTCCCGCTGCCCCCTGCAATGCCACAGACTGCTCAATCCATTTTCTTGGAAATCTGCTCGGGGGCTGCGGCCCCGTTGTCGTGTGCTGTGTGTGCTCAGGGCATTTCCTGCCTTCCAATAGACTCCATCCGTGAGCCGCTGGATCATGATTTGCTGGACGATGCGTGTTTTGATCGCCTTATGCTCATTGCGAGGGGACGGTGGACCACGCCCCATCCGTTCAGCGGAGTACCCTGAAGGTCTGCCGAACTTGTCTGATGCGGAGATGAGTCGATTGGAGTCTAGCAAACGGCTGCTCACGCGCACCATTTCTTTGCTTGATGCTGTCTTTGCCGCAGGAGGCCACGTCTCTCTTGAGCAACCCCGAAACTCATTGAGCTGGTTGTGTCCCGAAGTTCAGGAGTTCCTGAAGCGCACCTCTGCCGACCTCAACATTGTGTCCGCTTGTTCGGTGGGTGTTTCTATTCACAAGTACTGGCTTTTTGCATCGTCCTGGCGTCCATTGCAGGATCTCGCTGCTTTGTGCCCGCATGGCAAAAATGAACATCAGGACATTCGTGGGTTGCGTGATGCTGAGGGCAATTGGTTGTCTCAGAGCACGGCCGCCTTTCCGGAGCAGCTGTGTAAACGCTTTGCCTCGGCCATTCTGCCGGTCTTTGGGGAGGTGCATGCAGGCCGCTTGCTCAGCCTTGCTGAGGTCATGGGCATGATCCAGCCCAAGTCTCATACCGCGTTGCCCAGGGCAAACCAAGACGGGGTGGGATCTTCTCCTTACCCGATTGGTCGGCTCCGCCGCCAGGTCAGCAGGATAAGTTACAGGGCCTCCGTGCTAAGTGGTCTGATTGGCTGGCTGCTAAGCACATCCCCCTTCGTTTGCGTCAACATGTGCAGGCTGGCTCAGAGGAACCGTTGTTCTCCTCGTCGGAGATTGAGGAGCTGCACTCTCTCGCTTCCGAGTGGTTCGTAGAGCAGGGGAAGAACGCCATTTTGCTACGAGGCCCAAGCCGGGCAAGCCAATTAGGTGCAGAGATTAAGAGGTCGGGTGCTGCTACTTCAGTGGTTTCCGAGAAAAAGCGACTGGCTTCGAGCATTGCCTTTTCCCTCAGAAGATCAAGATCCTTGCAGCTTCAAATTGTCACGGACATCTTGTCGTGTGCTTTGCATACACTGGTGGGTATGGAGGAGCCGGAGCTTTCAACACAATGCGGGACTGTTGGATCACGGAAAAGGATAATCAGCTTGTACGCAACGCTTAAGCCCGACTGCCATGACGCATGTTCTCAAACCACTGCCAAAATGGCGACTGAAAGCGAGATTGAGGTTTTCGGTCGTCAGCTTGTTGAGCAGGCCAAGCTGGCGGCTGAAAGCAAGGTTGAGGCCTTTGGTCGCCAGATTGTTGAGCAGGCCGAGGCAGAGCTTCACAACATGCGTACGCTTCTGGACGAGCGAGCTGCGACCATCAAGAAGTTGGAGGCTAAGCTGTCCCACACTGAGCCAAGCACGTCAGCCCAAGATGTGAGACCCCTTGTCAATGATCAACAGGTTTTGATTGCGCAAACTGCCAAAAGGCAGCGATTGACTGGGAAAGACACACAGAACGCCGACCTTCAGCAGCTACAATCCTCGGGCCACGTGTACATCAGACCTGCCGTTGACTTAGAAACCTTGAGAAGGCGACATCATGATGAACGACTTGCACAGAAGGCAGCACGTAGGCTTGCAAGGCAAAATTCAGAACCCAAAGGACCTGGTGTATAGATCGGCCTTTTCTCGTACAAGTTTCTTTTTGTGAGTCCTGTCAAGGATAGGAGCTTAGTAATGCGCCTGCAGAAGTGGGTGAACATGAACGGCTTGTCGTCGTGAGAGTCAGCTCGTCTCCTCTCCTTGCTTTGAAGAAGCTGGGGAAAGGGGGCTGTTGCTGTAACCGGGCTGCTGGACAACGAGGCCTGCTGCAAAAGGGGATTTCTTCGGTTTCGTGGATTATTCCGGAGTTCCAACCTTACGCCTTGGAGGCCCTGCAACAGCTGGCTGGGTTTCTTTCTGACCCAGATGTGGCATTATGGCCTAGCCGAATGCAAGGGGTGCCTACCGGTATAGACGGTAATATCCCAAAATCTCATGTGTTTGTCCCGGTACACCAAGGCGAAAACCCGTCGGTTCCCGACCTTCACATTTGTCAGGGCAATTGGCAGCAGGCCGAGGCTCAGCCGGATCTCCTCAAGGAGTTAGTGCTCAAGGAAGCCTCGGAGGGGTACATCTTTTCCATGCCAAGCCTAGAGGCAGCGCGTGAACGTTGGGGCGAGCGGGTAGCAATTGGCAAATGCAACATCGTCGGCTTGGAATCGGAGCAGAAGAAGCCTAGGCTGATAGTAGACACCACGGTTTCAGGGACAAACCCCTCGGTCTCCATACCGGAAAAGTATTCACTTCCTGGGATCCAGGACGTCATCAACTCCCTGCCGCTCAGGGGTAGCACAGAGGAGCTAGCTGGCTTCTCCCTCGACATCCGGTCAGCTCATAAGACTGTCAGGGTGCGCCCTGACGAACAAGGTTTGCTGGGCTTCGAGGCCGACAACCGCCTGTGGTTCTATCGTGCCGCCCCCTTCGGGGGGTGCTTCAGTGCACATTGGTTTCAAAGGGTGTCTTCGTTCCTGGTAAGGGTTTTTCACTTATTGCCTTGGGTACAACACGCCCTTTGGGCGTACGTTGATGACTATTTCATAGTCCAGCCCCGCTGTGTGATTGAGCTTTGCTCCAGCCTGCTGCTGGCGTTCTGCGCTACCTTCGGCATTCCGATTCCGTGGAGTAAATTACAGTTGGGGAGTACGTTAGGGGTTTCCTCTAACAAGAACTCTTTATGGTATCTCGGGCATACAAACCAACATTGAAAACCAGCAAATCAACAGTAGATTTGGTGTTGGTTTGTGGGCTTGAAAACGACAAATCAACAGTAAATTTGGTGTTGGTTTGTGGGCTTGAAAACGACAAATCAACAGCTGATTTGTGGGCCCGGAGAACCACCCCAAATTGCCTGGGAGTACAAATCAACAGTTATTTCCGGGCTACAAATCAACAGCAAATCCCGGGATTTGCTGTTGATTTGTGGGTCCGGAGAACCACCCCAAATTATCTGGGAGCTACAAATCAACAGTAAATTCCGGGCTACAAATCAACAGCAAAATCAGGAATTTGGTGTTGGTTTGTGGGCCCGGAGAAGCTTTCGGGGGGTCCGGGAGGGGGTCCCGGGAGGGGTTCTCCGGGCCCACAAATCAACACGGAATTCCGGAATTTGGTGTTGGTTTGTGGGCCAGAAATTAGTGTTGGTTTGTAGTTTCCTAATGAAGAGCTACAAACCAACAGTAAATTTCGGGCCCACAAACCAACACCAAATTCTGGAATTTGGTGTTGGTTTGTGGGCCCGGAGAAGCTTTCGGGGGGTCCGGGGGGGGGGTCCCGGGAGGGGTTCTCCGGGCCCACAAACCAACACCAAATTCCGGAATTTGGTGTTGGTTTGTGGGCCCGAAATTTACTGTTGGTTTGTAGCTCTTCATTAGGAAACTACAAATCAACACTAAATTTCGGGCCCACAAACCAACACCAAATTCCGGAATTCCGTGTTGGTTTGTGGGCCCGGAGAACCACCCCAAATGGCACTCAAATTGCCTGGGAGCTACAAATCAACAGTAAATTCCGGGCTACAAATCAACAGCAAATCCCGGGATTTGCTGTTGATTTGTGGGTCCGGAGAACCACCCCAAATTATCTGGGAGCTACAAATCAACAGTAAATTCCGGGCTACAAATCAACAGCAAATCCCGGGATTTGCTGTTGATTTGTGGGCCCGGAGAAACCAGTTTGTGGCTTTCATAGCCACGAATTCGCTGTTGATTTGTGGTCTTCAGCCACAGATTCGCTGTTGATTTGTGGCTTTCATAGCCACGAATTCGCTGTTGATTTGTGGCTTTCATAGCCACAAATCGCTTTTGATTTGTGGCTTTTATAGCCACAGATTAGCTGTTGATTTGTAGCGCCGCCACCTCATTCTTGCTACCATTCTGAATGGACTGAATCAGCCTAAAGAACCCATGCTATTTGCTGTTAGAAGCAACCCCTAAGGAGTACGATTAGGTGGTGCGGTTGGTTGTATAACTTGCGTGCACAAACGTTCAGCGTCCCACAAGAAAAGCTCTCCAAGTTGCTCACAGCGTGTGTGGAGGTTCTCGAGCATCGTCAGACTTCCAGAAAAGCCCTGGAGTCCCTCATCGGACTTTTGCACTGGCTATTGCACATCGCCCCAGGTCTTAAGCCTTGGCTCTCAGTTCTTTATCAAGACTTAGCACGTCCCCTAGGAACAAGCTTTAGTATAAATCCAGGCATTTGGCAGTCACTGGCTGATACCTTGAGTGATTCCTTGTATTTTGTGAAGAGCCCGCCCAACTCGGGCATTCCGGTTGGGGCGAAGCTTCTCTCGGCTAAGCATGTGGAACTTCATAAAAAGAGTGATCTTCGTCTGGTTCAGCCCTCTGGCAGGCGTCTGTGGCTTCGCGTAGCCGATCCCCGGACTGAGAAACGTGTCTTGAGCTCGGCTAGCAGGGAGTTTGCTCTGTTGGGCGATTGGCACGCCCCGTATGCGCCCCTTGCGGCCGCTTCCGACGGCCACTCCGGTCTCCATCGCGGCGGATGCCATGGCTTCAGGGAATAGCATAGGCATAGGTGGGTTTGCACTGTTGCATGCGTCAGGCCCTCTTTTGTGGTACGCTGAAACCTTCGAGGCTTCGAGGTGCAAGACTTTCTTGATCTGGGTCTGAAGAGGCAGGCTCAGGCTCAGCGTGATATCACTTCATATGAGACGTTAGCTCAGCACGCTTTGCTTATGCTTGTCTCCACTGCGCTGCCGGCGGGGCGCTTGGCTGTAAACTTGCCTACTCTCAGCGACAACACAGGCTCGGAGTCGTCGGTGAACAAACTCTTCTCTACCCTGTACCCAGTGTGTATGTTTTTGCAGCGCATTGCCTCTTTGAGCGCACTGACAGGCATACAACTTGAGGTTGCACACATCCCGGGTGTTGCAAATGATGACGCCGACATGCTATCTCGCTGGGACGGCACATCGCAATTATTCGCAATTGCCATCAAAGTGGCAAATGCAGCATCGCATTCGCTTGCCACTTGAGCGCTTGTGGTATTTCAGGACTGATGTCCGAGTTTGGCCAGAGGGTGCTCCATTGCTGTGGCAGCCGCCAGTGTCTTGAGCTTCCTCTCGCAGTGAAATCCCGCGCCTGTTGGGCAGTACCGCTGGCGGCGCGCGGTCGCACGGCTTCCCCCGTTGGTGTGGGCTGTCCAGTAGCACAGGTCTCCTGTCGGGCAGTACCGCCAGCGGTGCGCGGTCGCTGTGCTTCCCCCGTCGGTGAGGGCTGTCCTTTGTAACGGGCTCCGATGCGGGTGCTGAGGGCTTTGCTGCCCCAGGCCTCTGAGTGCTGTAGTTTCAGTGCTGTGAGCTCGAGCGTAGGCCCCCTGAAGTTCCTTAGCTTGCTTGCGTAATCTAATCTAGCTGCGGCTTTGAGCTCCGGTGCTTTCGTCGACCCAACACGTTTTAGCTTTGGCCGAATTACCGTTGGTGCGTTAGGCCTCCTTCATTTGGTACGTGGCAGCTTTATACTTGGCGACTTTGGTATCGTAACCAGATTGCTAAAGACCTCTTCGCATCTGCTTTCGACCGCCACGTACAAAATGAAGGAGTCCCCGACTGAAGACTGCGTTAGTGTGAGCTTGCGAACTTAGTTTCTAGTACTGCTAGCGTAGTGGCTGTAGCGAATAGTGTGAACCGGATGGAACAACTGTGCCCGCACGCCAGATCAGGAAACAAGCCTTGGTGTTGCAGGACGATGATGGTCGCGCAGCGCTGGCGCTGCCTGCGCCTCGGCGCAAGCGGCGCCAAGGAGACGCGAAGCCCAAACCTGCTGGCGCTAAGCGGAGGAAGCGTGCTGGCGCTGAAGTTGTCGAGACTGCAGAGTCTGAGTCTGCGCACGAATGCGAGCACGAAACGGCTGGTGACGTGCCGGCGCCGGCGCTGGAAGATAGCTGTGCCCCATCGTCCACACCACTGCCCGCATCAGGCAATGCAGCCTCGTCTGGGCCGCCTTCGTCCGTTGCTACCGTCTCTGCCCCAGCAGACTCGAGCGATTCTGATAGTAAGTCTTCCAGTGGTTCATCTTCAAGCTGCAGCTCCAGCAGTAGCTCTCCTATACTTCATCCAGCTCAGACGGCAGCAGCGGTGGGGTTGCAGCTGCCGCAGCTGTTGTGCCATTAGGACCTTTGAAGTAACCCTGGGCATCCTGTATTGATCCTAATAAATAGAAGTAGAGTAAAATATATTGATATTGATTTGTAGTGTTTGAATTGATAATATCAACATTCATATTGATGTTGCTGTATGGATTTTGTGCAAGACGTTTTTTGATCAGACTATTGATTCTGCTATTGATCGAACTCACGAAAAATCAATTGTGATCAAACCATGGTTTTGATCAGATTTGATCAAACTTTTACCAGATTTGATCAAATTTGACCAGATTTGATCAAATTTGACCAGATTTGATCAAATTTGATCAGATTTGATCAGAGTTGATCAGATTTGATCAGATTTGATCAGGTTTGATTTTCTTGAGGTGGATGCGCAGCTGCATTTTCCATCGAATATGCTATTGATTATGTTGCTACCTATTGTGCTGTTATTTATTGATTTCGGCCATTGATTGACGCAATTGAAAAAACGTCCGGATTAATAAGACTGGAACATTATTGATTAGGATCAATACAGGATGCCCAGGGAAGGGTTCATGAGCGTCGGCTTTGAGAGCTCATCTGGGGCAGACAGGCTCACTACCTGCGCCGCATTCACCCCAAACCCTAAACCTTCAAGACTCAACCTTAAACTCAAACCTTAAATTCGCTAAGCTCCTAAGTCAGAATTCAGTAAACCGTTGAATCGCTGAACCCTTAAGCCCCTAAGCCCCTGATCCCGAAATCCCGGAACGTTCTTCCCTTGCAGTTGAAAGTCCTGAAAACACTGAGAACCCACCCTATGGAGTTTCATGGCAGGACCTGCAGGACCCCGGGTGCGATCGGATGATTCTCATGCGTGGGGAGTTTTCCACATCAACTGGCGAAGGCCCACTGACACGTGTCGCTTTGGTGCTTGGTCCACGAAGTGCAGGTTTCACACAGCAGTTGGAGGAGCGGCTTGTACAAGATCTATCAATGTTCCTTCTGCCGATCATGATGCCAAGGAGGAGACTCTGACTTACCTCAGGCGCTGGTGCAATACCGCAACTGCGTGCGGTAGTCGCGACGAGCACATGCAGCTAGTCAGAAGGCCAGAGGGTTCTGCAGGACAGCAGCTGGAGGACGAGAGGTTGACAGAAGAGGACCTCGCAGAATTTCTCAACTAGTGCAAGGCGCACGGCGCAGAAGTTGTCGGGAGTGCGGTCTGGACTGCGTCGGTATAGCTGCTAGTTTCGATCCTCCATACCATATGGAAGCTCCGATGACTCTCGCTGTGTCAGGGAAACGAACTGTGGCTGCAGCAATACTCTGTGATCATGCTGTTGTCTTTGCGGTTGTTCAACGACACCGCCGCCGCGGCGTCACTGTCGCCACCATTCCCGAGACATAATAGAGGTTTTAAGCCTCCCTAGGGCCACACTCACATTTCTAAAAGACCACGCACCCCAGCAGCAGCAACATCACCGATGCCAGCAGCACCAACACAGCCGAAAGCAACAACAAGACAAAGCAGCAGCAACAACAACAACAACAGCAGCAACAACAAAAGCTACTACACAACGACAACAACAACAGCAGCAGTAGCAGCAGTAGCAGTAGCAGCAGCCAGCAGCAGCCAGCAGCAGCCAGCAGCAGCCAGCAGCAGCCACCAGCAGCCAGCAGCAGCCAGCTGCAGCCAGCAGCAGCCAGCAGCAGCAGCAGCAGCAGCAGCAGCAGCAGCAGCAGCAGCAGCAGCAGCAGCAGCAGCAGCAAGAGCAGAGCAACAGCAAAAGCAACAGCAACAGCAACCATGAACACAACAACTGACAGCAATAGCATCAGCATCATCATAAAGACATTGTTACTATGATTCTGACTCTTACTGCGGCCCCGGCGACAACGACGAAGACGACCGTGGTGACGACCGCTACGGCGACGGCTACAACTAAGCTACCACTATTGCGATCTGTCTGCAATAATACATCTAATTCTGAACACTGACACTGTTCTTCGTATTCTTATTGTTAGGACTGCTGGGTATGATTCCTGTTGGCTGCCCCTCTTGTGTGACTGGTATGCTATGACATGTCGTCCTTTGCGGGCATTCTGCGTGGCTAGGGTAGCCTGTGTAGCCATGAGACTCTTGGGACTTAGGCCGACCACGGTGGTGGGAGAAACGTTGTGCGCACGGTCGCGCTGTGCCCGCAAAAACTCGAAAGTTGTGAAGGTCTCTGCCGTGCATTCGTTCACAGTTTCTGCAGATTTTTTCTCCTTTTTCTGGTGTGTACGCCTGCTGAGCAAAGGATCTCTCTGAAAGTTGCGGTGTTGCCGGTCTTGCCCATCCTGGCAGCCGGTGACAGTTCTGGCCTTGCTCCAACCAACCCCGGGCCCTGACATGGGAGGTGGTCCCCGGTTCCCCCCGGTTCTCCCAAGAGGTTGCTAAGAGCTGGCCCGGTTCTTCCCCGGTTCTTCCTGGTAGCGTGCTATCCCCAGGAAGGCCTTCCTGGGCTGTCCCAAGACACTGACCTGGACCTGCTGCGGCGCGGGATGACCCAGCTAGTCCCCTTTGCAAAACGTTGGCCGAGTGCCTGCTGATGGACGCAAATGACGCAAACAGCCTCATTTAGGCCTTCGCCAGCGATTCAGAAGGCAAATCAACGTTTTTGACTTCGCGCAACAATTCACAACCGGTTAGGTTTGGTGGTGTGGCGTGTGTTGCGTTTGCGGTTGCGGCGTTTGCGGTTGGCGCGTTTTCTAGCGCGTGTGCGTAGCCGGGGCCGGCCGCTATTATATATCTGAATATATCTAGCCAAAAATTCTATACTTCTATGTATGTCTATTCTGTCTATATCTGTATCGTATCTATAATATCTGTTTATAGCCCATAATACCTGTATATATCAGTGTATCATTAGATCTACATGTTTATATAGCATATATCTCTTTATCTATATCATTTACTATCTATGTGTATCTGTATGTATTACATGTATATGTATATGTAGGTAGTTATAAAGATAGATAAATATATTGAATTGGTACATTCGCATTATGTGCCATCTCCAAGGATACTGAAAAGCGCCACCAACAGCCAACAGCAACAGCAACAGCCAACAGCAAAAGCACTCGCAACAAAACGAAGAACGATTGCAGCTGCAACTGCAACCACAATCTCCAGTGCCTCGCCCGCTCCGCCCTCCTCCTCCTCCTCCTCGTCCTCCTCCTGCACCTCGTCCACTTATTGCTATCACTATCACTATCACTACTACTACGACGACGACGATGACGACAAGTAGTGTCACTGCTGCTGCTGCTGCTGCTGCTATACTGCCACTGGTAGCGCTACTGCTACAACTACGGCCACTCCTAGTGCTACCACTACTGTAACGAGTAACGACTACCACTCCTTCTTCTCCCGCTGCTGCTGCTGCTGCTGCTGCTGCTGCTGCTGCTGCTGCTGCTGCTGCGGCTGCTGCTGCTGCTGCTGCTGCTGCTGCTGCTGCGGCTGCTGCTGCTGCTGCTGCTGCTGCTATCACCACGACCACTAGCACTCCCACGACCACTTCCACTATTGCTGCTACTACTACTGCTGCTGCTTCTACTACTACGACTATTGCACAGACAACTGAAGCCACTATACTACTGAAGCTGCGACTGTAATTACTACTGACTGTAGCTACCGCCTTATACTCTTCCGGCTCCTGCTGCTGCTGATCTAGGGGAACTCTTGCCACCGCTGCTGCTGCTGCTGCTTGCTGCTCCGTTGGCTGACGAGTAGCAGAGAAATAAAAGCAGCAGTGTTCGGTGACATTCTTTTGCGAAGAAGACAGAACTTGCATCGTTTTGCACAAGGTGCAAGCTGTGGCTTTCTGAGTAGGGGCTGCGTTGCACATGGCCTCACGTTGCAGTTGCACCTGAGCGTTGTTCTTGATTCTTGGTCTGTTCTGTTGAACAGGCGAAGGCATTCCCCAAGGCCCCAAACGTGCGAAAGTCGCTGCTGGTGACGCCAGACGCAGAACCCAACCCCACTTACTAGACTTAGGACACCTGCCGAAAAAAGGCCAGGGACTTGTGGACAGCAACATCTTGCGGCAGGGTTTTCCGCCATGGGCACCGATGTTGCAAGCGTTGCCAGCTACTCCCAGGACTCATGGTCGTGATCTCGGGCCAACACGGGAAGCTGTAGACTTCGGAGGTGTCCAGAGATCTAGCTAAAGTGGTAGCAGCGCTGTCGTCCGTGAAAGTTGCTAGGGCTAGTGTGTGCGGAAGGCAAATGGCCAGGCCCTAACAAAGCACCCGAAAGCTTCACTGCCCAGGTCTGTCGAGCTGGTGGAGTCCCAGTCAAGCTCGGCCGATCTGCAGGTCAAGGATGACTTGCGTGCACTTGGTCTGCAAAGAAGGTTCATGTCTGGGGCTCGGGTCACTACTGCAAAGCTGCCTAGAGTCGTTTGGGATGCTGCAAGATTAGCAGGGCAGCGTCTTTAGAGCTGGACGTAGCAGAGCTGTTGACCTTTTGCACATGAGAATTTTGTGACATGGTCCAACAAAACCATGTCAGAATCCTTCCGCAAGAAATAAGTTTTTGCGAATTTTGATTAGGGCAATTTGGCCCTTTCAGTCTCAGCTCAGTGTGTGATGTTCGGCACAGGGCAGCTTGTGTGAGAAGCCCCGTGAAGCTGCGACTTCAGTTGAAACCCTTCGGTTTCAGCGTCGGTAACCCAACCTTTGTTTGCAACTATCTTGTTGAGGTTTGTATCTGTGTCGGGCCCACAGTTGAAACAGCGACCCAAAGACTGCGCTAAACCCAAGAACGCATTCCAGAGATCATGATTGTGGGTGTTTCCGCTGGGCAGCACACCGTCCCCTCAGGCGGCTTATCTTCGGAGCCGAAGCGGAGAAGATAGAGCGTGATCTATGCAGCTGACTGCTGCGCCCTAAGAAGATCCAAGTCTGGTCCATCATTGATGATCCGCAAAACACCCTTGCTGCAGTCCATGTCGTGTGGTGTGGGGTGTTGGTGTGGGGGGGACGGCAATAGACCATTGCCGTTGGCCGCAGCTCAGGTGATTCCTTCAAACAGCTGGGTCCGAGTTCCCTGGAAGAGGCTTTCCATTGGCCGACAACTGCCTTGTCTGCTTTGACTCCGAAGCAGAAGCAGAAGGTGGTGAAATACTTCTCAGATGGCATCGCCACAGCCCCAGAACCAGACCTGCAGGCCTTTTGATAATAAGCATGTCGAATGTAGACAGCTCGCCGAATGCTGCAGAAAGTAGTAGCGCCACCAGGGCCATACCATGTCTGAAGCGGTCGTTGGAAAGTTCCACACCCAGTGCCCTGTGCGCAGTTCTGCAAGAGCCTCAAGCACCTTGGAGCGCGCCGTGCACCTGCAGCGCAATGGCCGACTGCAGCTTGGGCAAGGAGAACTACGTCTTGCAAGATGATGGTGAAGAGCTCGCAGTCGGCAACAGCGGCCTTACCGCTGCGGCTGTGACTGCATCGCCACCGAAGGCTGCGGCTCTGTTCTGTCAGCTCATCAAAACGCCTGCCGTCGAGAATGGTGCAGGCAGTGCAGGCCCTGGCAGCGAAAGTCCTGGGAAAGAGCAGCCTCAGCCGCAGCTCTTTCAATGCAGGATGTGCTTGGATTGGAGTTTCTCGTGATGGCTATGTTCCCCAAAAAAACACCAGCCTCTGCCTTGAGTGCCGCAGAGCGGACGAGGCAGCACGTGCTCAGGTGAAAGGCACCCCACAAGAATCGACATTCAAAGAGCTCAAAGCCGCCGGCAACGAGGAGTATCGGGCACGGATCATGGACTTCAGGAAACGGCGCCCCGCTAAGGGGCGAGGAAAGGGCAGGCAGCGCTTCGATTTCACTACCTGGTTCCGCACAGTAGAAAGTTATAACGAGGTGAAGAACGATGCCCGATGCCGATTTATGCCCGAAGTGTACTACCTGTCTTGGGCACAAAGTCCTGAAAGCGGGTGTTACACCCCCCTGGAAGCAAAAGCACGCTGGGATGCTTGGTACGAGGACTTGTCGGTTGCTCGGGACAAGCTTGGGAAAGATGGAGCCGAACGGCTCTTGATCCACATGTTCGATGAGGTGACAGGATCTAGTGGTACCAAGTCTGCGCGCGGCTACAGCACCTCAGGCCCTAGGCAAGTCAGTCAAGAACGCCACCGACGAGCAGCTGTCAGAGCTGGACGCTCTCAGGAATCTGGGTCACGACAGCTTCAGCTCGGATGTCTTCGATGGCGTGAATGGTGCAGGACTTTCCAATGCGCTCCGTGGCAGCAGTTCCTTGGCCGAGGGCAAGCACAACACGGCCGCTTTGGCTCCTGCGGCTAATCCTGAGCCGGAGTCTGAGGAGAATCAGAAGAAAAAAACGCAAGACCGACATGCATGCGATGCAAGTCAATGAGCATGACCGCTTGGGCCGCGAAATGGACGCCTTGCTACGGGAGAGTGAAGAGACAGTCTAGAAGATGCAGGAAGCTTTGGATAACGTCGATGAAGACGATGAGGCCAACTACAAGATGTACGTGCGCATGCTCAGAGTGCACAAACAGGCAATCTTGAAGTGGGCAGGAAACACATCAGCGGAAGCATCCGAGGAGGACGTGCAGAAGGCTATCGACACCTACGATTCGTACCGCACGGCTGCTTACATGCCAGAGCGGAGCTCTTCGTTGCCCAGTCCTGACTTTGAGCACCTTGTGTCCAGACACGTCGTTTCGCGGGAGGCCAGAGCCTTCACGGATGCCGCAGAAGACACCGATGCCATCAAAGCGGCCCTCAAGTACTTCTTGGAGCAAAAGGCACTCGTCAAGAATCTGCTTGGTGGTGAGGTCCGGGCTGTGAAGGATTTGGCTTCCGCTCGAAAGGCGAGAGCCAAGACTTTCGAGCAGCAGGTCAAAAAAGAAGCGGCGGCTGCAAAAGCGGCTGCGAAGGCCAAAGCCAAGGAGGACGCGAAGGCATCAGGTCAAGGCAGCAGAGCGCCCAAGGGTGCCCAAGCCGAAGCTAGCGCTGCTCCGTAGTTCCATCTTCAGTTTCGCTTCGTCGTCCCAGCTTAGTGATGCAATCAGTGCGGTGCATGCGAAGATGGTTCCCACAATGTCCGCCGAAGAGTTCCAAGTCGCCGCTGAGCAGAACAAGCTGGATACCTCCATACCGTACATGGTGCAGCACTGTGGAGGCCTACATGCAAAGCTTGCTGTGCAATCTTTGGGCTTTTGCAGCCCCAACCGCCGTGGACAGCAGCAAGGCCAACATTTCCGACAAGCCGTTGAGTGCCTTGCTTGGGAATGTGGCTGCGTTTGCTTTCGCGGAATCTATGCGCTACAGTGGCACTGAGTTCAAGCAGGCTGCCACGATGCGATTCCACATGAACGGCAGGCGCCGATGTGCGTCAGCCCCATTTGCGAAGCTGCAGTCCAAGCTGCTTGCTTTTCGGGATGAAAGTGCCACTGCAGGTGCCGCTGCGAAGATGAAGGAGTTGGGGATTGAATCCGCCGCCCAGCTCAACCCGGAAGTCATATCAAACCGTGGAGAAGTGCTTTCCCCGCGCCATATCGGGTTCAAGCTGGGCAAAAGTGGTTTCGGAGTCTCTTATAGCATGAGTGAGCTTGAGTCAGAATTAAGTGTGAAGAACGAAAGTTCACAGAATGAGCGATTAGCAAGACAACTTCCATGTCTTCTTGCTGGCTGGAGCCGCTGGCAATGAATATAAGCTCGCTGAACACATTGTTGCCTTCTTAGATTATTTGAAGTCCTGCACTGCGTCGCTGCGCTGACCTGTCAGAAGTCAAGGGTATCCAGTTGAGCATTCTGCAGCATGTCTATACAATGCTGGGCTGATACAAGAGTTGGGATGTTCTCAAACCCCTCGCCTTCAGTCCTTCAGTCTCCTAGTGTCTGATGGCACGGGAGGCGACCACACGGTTTTGCCTGAACCCCTTGGCCTTGAGTCGCTGTTTCGCATAAGGCTGCATGCGCGGAGATGAGGCGTGAGATGCAGCGAAGCAACTTGGAGAACATCATTGTTGGGCCCACTACTGCGGGCGTTATTGAATTCCGTGCTTCCCCTGCTGGGGTCCCAGAGGTCCTCTCCCTAGGCGGCGGAGTAGAAGGAGGCAGGTTTGTGCAAGTGGGGTGCAGGGAGCAGCATTCCCAGCATTTGCATCATGATCATCCATTCCAGCTTGGTTTTCTTCAAGCACGCGAGTATGGCAACATCCAGACATGGTAATGATATGCGTTTGAGGTTCCGCAGGGCATCAATGATCCTTTCCGACCACCGCATCCTGCGACAACAAATATACAACATATTCCTATATCTAAATGCATTCGAGCTAGAACACGACAAGGACAAGTCCGCCAACGCACGTTCCAGGGATATGCAGGTGTCTTGGAATTCTGAATCCTTATCAGTTCCAGGCACTGCAAGAATTTGATCGTACCTGTTAAGCTCGCAACATCCATTAATTTCATGTGCCAACTGCCAACTGCGTTCTATACACATCTAGCTAGGTGTTCGTTGACACTTGTCCTCGACAAGAGCAACTTGCGCAGATGCCAGGAATCGCCAATAATTGTTTGCGGATCATGAGAACGGTGAAATATATCCGAGAGAAGAAATCTAAAGATGTATAGAAGAGTTTTCTCATTTCGGCTTAGGCTTGTCAGAAAAAGGTTTGCGAGTCAGCGCATGTCAGTTTTCTATCCACGGCTGCATGCTTCACATGGCAGGCCTGCCATTCGCGCAGTGCCATCTGTGCCAGGGCCTTGGTATCGGCAATTACACATTTCCCCAGATAGCTTAAGTTAGTAGGGGTTCTAACTAAATAGGGCATGCCGTGTCCGCAGCCAGCGGACAGGGTGCAGCAGCATGCACATGGCGCAGGGGGTGCAGAGGAAAATGGTTCTGGCTTGACAGCTAGCCGCTAGCCAACATCCGTAAACAAGTGCATGAGACGGATGCAAAATCGTTCCTGGACCCGACAAAATTTGTCGCCGTAACATAGACTGACTTCAATTGATTTTTGAGAGCTTTGGCCAAGCGCATAGACGGGATCCAAAAAATGCTCTTGGACCCGACAAAATTGCTAAAGAGCAATCATTGAAACTTTTTTTTTGGGAGAGCTTCGGGAGCCTGATTTCGGGTTTGAAAGCTAGCCAACGTCACTAACAAGCGCGTAGATGGGATCCCAAAAACATTGCTGGACACGACAAAACTGCCAAGGAAAGAGCAACTAAATTTAGCTGATGTTTTCGACAGCTTCGGGAGGCTGAAGTCGGGCTTCAAAGCTAGCTAGTGACAGTAACAAGTGTATAGGCTCGACCGGATCCCCAAAACGCTCTTGGACCCGACAAAACTACCAAAAGCAAATCAACTAAATGTCCATGTCGTTTGTGGTGGCAACAAAAGCGGTTTGGGGTTCCTTTCTTTGAGGCTTCGTTTTGGGCAAGAAATCAAACTCCCAGCTATTTGGGTTTTTGCCGGTATACTTTTTTTTGGGGGGGAGTAGGCTTAATTCACAGTGCCCCATCGACTATTGCGGGAACGCTTTTGGGTGGATTGAGTGAGTGAGTGAGCGGGAGGGAGAAAGAAAATAATAAAAAACAGAAAGGAGGGAAGAGAGAAACATGGTCATTGCATTTCTTTTTGGGGTCGTCCTACATCTCAAAAGCAAATGCCCAGACGTCTTCAATGATTTTATTGTGTCTGTGATGCTGCAAAATAATTCTTTTGGGACCGCTACCTCAGGCGTTGAAGTCGGCCCAGTGGCTAAAGATGGCAGTCTTGGGTGGATGGAGAGATGAAGGGAAGAGGGCCGCAAGCTACATGGATGCTTTGTGGGACTTGCGGCATTTCGCCACTGAATGCGGTTTGCAGTAGCATATTCTCGGCTCACAGGCGGCATACGGTGCTCCACCACGTCTTCCACCATGTCCCTTCAGTGGTTGGAGACTTGCACCAAGGAGTGTGTTCAAGCCCAATTCCTATTGTGGAAAGCAGAAAATCGCCAACAGGGCATTTTTACAAAGCCCAAGATTTTCCGTCACGGAGCCTGGACGAATGCTGCCGAAAACGATGATGACGCTGTCGACCTGATGTCATTCGACAATGCGGAGGACCAGCCGGCCTTCTTCGTCCAGAACTCGCAAGATGGGGTCGAAACTGCAATCCTCTGCATGCTTGAGGGAATGACTGATTACGCGACAGCGCATGCTGTGCATGCCAGCTGGGTGCGCCGGAACCCCGGCGCACCAGCTCATCAACAGGTCCCTTGGAACTGCTTGGCCGCCACAGACCAGGTCAAGGACGTGCACTTTGCATCGGAGGTCAGGGCTTGGCTACTTGAGCATCTGGACCTGATCCCAGAGGCAGGGGTCACCGTGATATCTCGTCCGAAGAATGAACACCCCAGCACAAGTCATCTACTACTCCTACTACTGCCGCGCTGCCACCGCAATTGCACGGGCTACTACTTTTGCTACTGCCACTGCTGCTGCTAATTGTGGCTGTACAGGCAGCTAGCCAGACGATGGTGGTGTTGGTGTGAACATTAGCGGCTCCAATGTCATTACATGTCATTACCGTTGTGGGTGGCGGGAATGCTTCTTTTGCTGTTTCCTTAACTGCTTCTTGCTTCATGGTTCTATGCCCTGTTTGAGTGCTGCGACTTCCGTGCCTCAAAACGTTTGTGTGAGACCCAGCTTACAAGACGTCAACATGTTTGGATTTTGTGGTCCGGAGACCCTGCAATAGGTCAAGTCTTTAATGAAGTAATCCAAAAATGACAGCAGCCACAGACCTTGTCGCAGGATCATATCAGCAACGACAAGGCTGATATTATGGAAGCCGGCGGCCTCTTCACGCATATCGACCTGGATAACGGCTGGCTCCCGGATCACATGTCGGAGGATGACCGCACCAGCCTAGCAGCTATGGTGCCAGTGACGTTCAGTGACTTCTTCGACAGCTGAGCTGTTAACTCCGATGAGAAGCCCGAGGACTGCTGCGGCGGTTACAAAGGATGATATATCCAAGTACTCTGACAGTGTTTGCAGATCATGCATGCTTTGCTGAGATCTGCAACCTTCCCAGGTCCGATGCTCAGCGCGCTGTTTGCCGCGAGCTTGGACGATGCTTGAGTGATTGCTTGGAGGTGGTTGAGTCGTCATTGTGACCATGGGGTGCCATTTTCAGTTCAGATCTTTGCTTATGTGCGCTAGCATTTCCTCCTGGTTCGTGTCCGCAACTTAGGAGCTGCAAGTCTACATGGCCCTACATAGCAGCATTTTTTGCAGCGATAGCATCATGCCATCCCCGCGTGGTCTCGCCGTGTGTCCTTGATTTTTTCAATGTTCAAAGCAAGCACGCGATCAGAAAAGGCAATATGAATTTCAACCCAATCC